CCTTCCATCTCTTCGAAAAAAAACAACAACACAATATCAATTAAAACAAATGCATCCTATTAGTTATCACTTTTTATTTTTGTAAACCTAGAATTTAATTAATTAAAAATGAAGTGACGATAAACATACAATCTTCAAGTTGAATTTCTATACTATTTAGAATATAACTGAAATAAAATAGTTGAGGTGTAAGTAAAAGAAAAGAATAAAAGAATGAGTTTGTTAATCCCCCCCCCCCAAAAAAATAAAAGAAAGTAAATAAATACAGACTATTTTTTTCTATGTCTATCACTTTTTGCCCTTTTGTATTCTATTCTAGAGTGATAATTAATGGGATCGTCTTTTTGTTTAAAATAAAAAATAAAAAAACAAAACCGGCACATCATTAATTTCACTGAATGATGTCATTACCACCACTAGTATCAGTAATAATAATAATAGTAGTAGTGGTAACACTACATCGATAATTCTTTTCAAAGCATACAAACCATACAAGTCAATAACATAAACTCTCCATTTCACAAATACACATAAACATACTGTTATTGTATAGAAAAGAAAAATGGATATGTTGAAATAAGGAAAATTATCAGTAAACAAAGTGTCATATACACAAATCACATAGATATGCACATACTGAATAACAATTTTTAAAATAAATATCTTTAAAAATGATTTTAACAAGAACATATGATTATACTAAGTCAGACAATAAGATTACACAGTTAGTCTAGTATAGATTTTGTTTAATAGCACAAATGTGTTAAATTGACATCTTGTATTGATATAAACAGATTTATTATCAGAAGGGGTTTGGTGGAGATTGTAGTAATTTCAATAGTTGAGATCATTAGTCAATTGAAGCTAGATCACCATGAAAAACCTGGAAGCATTGGACGACCTTTTCATCCTGTTGTGGGACTCCTCAACAGTGCTCATCCACGACGCCACCTTGTGGAATTTAAACCAAGGATTCATGAATCATGATCTCAACTATTGAAATTACTACAATCTCCACAAAACCCCTTCTGATAATAATCAACATATGCTCACTAGTGACTGGCTTCAAGAGGTATATCCCGGAGTTCTAGTGAGAAGTAGTAAGCAGTGGGGTTCAACCAGGTCTGTTGAGAGATAGTAACTCACTGATGGCAGTAGTAGATGAGTCGCTCGATTTCGTGAATTTGTTGAAGTTAGACATTAACACCATTGGATGCCGGCTCAGTGGTTTAATCGTTAAGCACTCGCGCGCGAGACCGATAAGTCTTGGGTTCGAATCTCACAGTGGGACGGGATCGTGGATGCACACTGCTGAGGAGTCCTACAATAGGACAAAACGGTGGTCCAGTGCTTCCAGGTTTTTCATGGTGGTCTAGCTTCAATTGACTAATGATGTCAACTATTGAAACAAACAGATTTGTAAGTTGAAAAGAAATTCATCATTATACTAAACAAATAAGTCAGAATTTCGGTAACAATTCACAATTTTTATTAAATATTTACGAGTATACTAATAGAAGGTTTACTTTTTATAAAATTTCAACTTCTTACAAATCACTAGTGATTTCAACAAAAGATACAATATCATACATGTTAGTTAGTATAAATTATATACAAAGTAAAGATTGTAAAACGTTTAGCCTTCAGTTATATTTATTGACGAGAGATAGTGACGTAACCAAAAACTGTTCAAAGCAAAAATAGACTAAGTGTTTAAATATTAAAGCCGATTATTGTACGTCGGTTGCCGTTATAAGAATACGAACATAAAATTATGATTTCACTGTACGTACACATAATTTAATGATAAGTACTAACTATTAAATAAATTGGTCATTTTATTTTTTTATAGCGAAGTCTCCGCAATTACATGAAAAAACTATCTGTTTATTTTTATAGATTAGTGGAATGGATATAAACAAGTAAGGATAAGAAACTCAGATTGAAGAAACAGTGATTTCTAGTCAAAACTCGACATTTAATTAATGACATGACAAGCAGAAATAATGTTAATATGACTGAGGCAAAGCACGAATCATATAAATTGTTGATCCTTGTCAATCATTTACGAATATTCTATAGTGTTATTGTTCAATTTCCAAATCAAGTTGTGTTATTTTTATGTATTTGAAGTTCGAAATGTTGTTGGCATAATAAAGAAAGTCGAATAGTTTCACTCCATACTATAAGAAAACCAATAGTTCAACATGTTCTTCTCAACACTTTCCATAAAACATATCCCAATCTAGTTTTATGATTGATGACAATGAATTATCAAGGTGTTTGATAATGTTCATACAAACTGTAGAGCAGATCATATTTCCCTTATTTGTTTTACTGAGCAAATTATTTTACGAATACGAGATATTGAGAAGGATTGATTGTGGTTAGAAATGGAATTGAGGAGTGATGTTTCACCATTTTGGGGAGTTGTTAGCTCGACATACTTGTATTTCAATACACATTCCACTGAACTAGTATGTTCAGACAACCACTAACTATTTTGATGATTAGAATGTTTATATAATTATCAGAAATGAATATCTTTATCTGATCATTAGACTCTGAATCATTTACCTGAATTTTTCACTTTGATTCGCATAATGATTAAACGACGTTTGTATTTATTGTGTATTGACCGGTTCAAACAGGATATTAAATGTTATTTGGGTTTTGTAATTCAAAGTTAAATTCTGAGAATTAGATTTGATCTAGTTTCTTTTCTTGATTCTTTCTTTTTTGGGGTGGGTGGGTTTAGATGACTGCTTGTCATGTTCTAATATAGTTGAGTAGTTTAGTAACGAGTCAATTTATACAGAAATACAATTTTTCACTAAAAGTTAATAAACTTCAAACTGTTACTTTACCTTAATTGAGGTTTATTGTTATGCAAATTAGTATAATATTTCGGTAGTATTTATCACTGATTAATATCAGTTGAAATAACATTAAAACAAAGAATCATTGGACATTTATTTGATTCGTATTTGAAACTCACAAGCAATATTTATCCACTGCCATACCAGAAATTTAACCCAGAACCTCTAAATCTCACAATGAATACCTAACCATTAAGAACACTAAGTCGACCTTAATACCTCAATAAATCACTTATTAGAGAATGAAATCCCATAGCATTAGCAAGATTTTACTATTATCATTTGATTAAATAAAATAATTATTAAATAACTAAATATCATACAAATACAAGGTGTATGTAATTATTTGCTTCTCGTCCTCAAATACTTTATTCACTAATGACTATTGGAAATGAATAAAAACATGGAAACTAATTATTGATTACTTTCGTGTTTATATAATTAATAATACATATATTTTATTGAAACAAATAGGGTTGTTTATATACGAGGGATAATCTATTGTATTTTGTATTATTACTGTTTTTATTTAATGTACCCGCATCCGGGCAAATTGGACATTAATAAGTTATAATTACATAATGTACATTTGATGAATTCTACTGTGGAACGTTATCTCACAAATATATTCATCAATATATATAAGGAACTAATTGATAAAGGCAAAATTAATAGTAGTAATAATAATGATAATAATAATACTAACTGAACAGGCTCAATTAAAAGGCAAAAAATAGGAGAATAGGGACCAAGAGAGAGAGAGAAAGATTTTGTGAGAGAGAACAAGATAGAAGTGAAATAAATTGCCCTGTTCTTTTTCAGCTTCAGTGATTCAATTTGTCAAATAAATGAAGAAGAGTTTGCTCTTAGCCTTATATTTTCAAGAGTTCTTTAGGATATTTTTTTTTCTTTTTTCCCCATTTCCATTTATTTATTTTGTTGTTTTACCCTTATAGTTTACGTTATATATCATTATGTACAGAGAGCAACGAAACAAACAGTCTGATTGACATTTTAACTATTATATATATATATATATATATATATATATATATATATATATATATATATATATATATATATAAGTGATAGACAGATATTAGTTTTTGCGTGAACAAATAACTCAGTAAAACAGAAATCCAAAACCACTACCCTTTACTTTTTCTTGAATTATGCCAAGTAACCTAAATTAATAATAGCTACTTTATGGAATTCAATCGATACACATTTCAGTCATTATATATAATTAGATTAGGAAAATTTTGATTATTAATGGTTAATCATTAAATATTCGAACATAACATATAACATGAAGTATCGTCGATTGATTTTGGAATTAGATCAATTTACGTAACTTATAGTCAGTTTGTATCATCACTGAATAATTGGAAAATTACACTGTTTATTGTTTTGATAGTTTAAATTGTGGAAATGTACTGACACAACTTACATCAATCCAATTTAATGTTTTATTTTCAATATGGAATCTCTTAACTTGCTAAAAGTATACACTTATAAATCTATTAAAAATGATGTTAACACTGTACACTACTTAATATATCCATTAAATGTAGAAAGATGAAGATATTGTTTCTTCACTAAAGGTGTTTAATACAATGTTATAAGGTGATATATATATATATATATATATATATATATATATATATATATATATATTAACTGCATTCAAACATCTTTCCATAAAACGGTTAATAAACATAAGAAAAACTCCTACAACCAGAAAGAATACGCATAGTGATTACTCTATAGAGGTTTTTGTATGCTATGATTGTATAACCTTCACATGTCATTCAACCGATATTATTTTTTTCGGTTAAAGATCAACTAAATCTTCATTAAGTTATGTAACTATGAAAAAATGATACCTGAAATAGTAAAATATGGAATTTATATAACATGAAGAAGAAGACATGACTGTTGACATGAAAATTTTAATCATTCTCCCAAAAGTACAATGATCCTTCATTAAGCAATTATACACATTTCTATAGTCATTTCATCTCATTTTAACATTATATTTGTTTATGAGTAAACTTATAGACTACTTATTATCATGCTTAATTTATACTTTTTATTTGTTTTTAAAACAATCTATTTTAGTAATTTCCTATATCGTTGTGCTGGATGTTATCGATTGATTGATAAAATGGATTTAGTATTTCGTATACGATCACGTACATTTCATTTAGATTGTTTTCGTTGCGTTATTTGTGAGAAACTATTACAGCCAGGTGAAGAAATCGCTTATAGAAATGAACAAGTCTATTGTTTAATACATTCTCATCTTATACAAAAATTTCCAAAAATCAATCATCACCATCATAATGGTGAAAATGACAATAACAATGATACTACTACTAATACTATTATTAATAATACTATCCATACTGAAAATAGTAACGATGTAGAAACATTACAGTTAATGTCAAGTAATCATTTTATCAATAATATGAAAAATGCCAGTCACAATAACAACGATGGAAATAAAAATCATGACAATAATAATGTTCAAATCAATAATACTGATCCTCATAATATGAATCAATCGATTATTGAACAAGTAGAAATCAATATTGTCCCAGGTACAAGTCTTATTACCAATACTACTTGTTATAAAAATGGTAGTAATATGAATATGAATCAATCAACATTTACGAAACATTGTCATGAACCATTTATTACAGATGATATGAAAAGTTTGAAATCTGATATAAAAGGTCTTTTACCAAATTTATTATCACATCAGACAGATGATATACAGTTAATGACAATGAAATCAATTTATTGTAACGATAATAATACTACTAATAATAATGTGACTAATATGGAATTGACTCCTGATATGGAAAATGGTTTGATATATGAGAATTTATGTAATTCATCGTCTACAACAATATCAATGCCAACAATACATACTACTGTTGCTTTTACCGATGTGCATAATAATAACAGTAATAATGGTAATGATAATGGTAATAATTATCTGAACAAATTAATGAATAATCGAAGTTCTGTGTGTAATTCTAGTTTAATGAATCCATTAAATGAGAATATCTGTCCTAATTCACCAGATAGTTCATTCGGTGCAATTATTCAAGATATTGGTAAGTAAGAAATTAGAGTTTCAGTTTTTAATAGAAAACAATTTCATAAGTTTAAATCAAAGACTTGTACTAGTTAGAGAACCACTGAAAACCAAACAAAAACACTTGACAGTCATAACGTACTAGTATGGAACCCCTAAACAGTATGAATCCACGATCAGTGGTTCAAACTAGGACCTTCATGCTACGTGACAAGTGTTAAACTTACAGACTAGTAGGTTAGGATCTAACCTAACTAACTGAGAAAACCAATGATCTCCATGACTCTTTATGATAGAAAATTATTCATTTGTTTCGACTTAATATGATTTTTGACTTAATTCTGTTACTGTTTCCGACTGGCATTCAAATTTAGAATAGCAAGTGTCAATGGATACTTCAATTAATCAGAAATTTCAGTTTCTGTATACATGAAATTCTAGTAATATCAAAGGCGTCAAATGAATGTAGACTGTATTCACTTTACACAAGACAAACAGAAACATTTCATTTACAACTTTATTGAGTTTCTTACATTTCTCTATTTTCATTTAGTATTCAATACTAGGACAGGTCAATAGCAGATACCCTTAAGATATTTGGTACAATTTCAATTTACTACATATAATAGACATAAATTTTATTTTATTTTGCTCAAACAATTTTAATGATGCATATCATTTACACTTTACAATGACTACTCAACTTAAATTTTTTTATTTATTAGTTAACCATGTAATGTCTTGTTAACTAGAGAATTTCCATTATGAAAATAGAAAATGATTATTCAGTCACAAGGTACAACAAGATACGATAGAAACTAATAATAATAATAATAATAATAATAATAATAATAATAAAACCAACGACAAAAGAAATAAGATTCCTTTGTCTTATTTGATTACATGTCTTCCCTCCTCCTTTCCAAATATAAACCCACTGTATCTGGTGTAAAGTGAGATAATAATTAAGAAAAGTAAAATTCATTCCTGAGAAAATACATATGTATATCGTCTGTTTTCAATTGTCAAAATATGTATTAGGTCAGTTTATTAGTAGACTTTATGATTTTTAATGTATTATTATTTTAAATACTAGCGATAATAATATATAAGGTCAATTAAGACATTAAGTGAAATGAGTATATTATATATTTAGTAATATTATTATTACCATAAGTGTTTTTTTGTTGTCAGTCAACTAGTTATTCAGATTAATAGGATAATGTGAATACATTAAGATGTCTTTGTCTTGTGTTTTCATGAGACAGATATAATGTTTGTTATCCTCTTTGTTTCTATATAAACATCATTTTGTTATATAATATCAACTGTTGTATCACCTTATTACTACTGTTCAATGTATATAAGCTGTTCAGTGAATAATGTATTTAATTGCATCTATATATACAAACGCATGCATTATAAAAAGTAAAAAGAAACATTAATAGACAATAGGTATTTAATGATAGTTACTATGTAACTATCGGCTAAATGATCTATTTAGTATTTATTCCATATGTACAGAAACATTTTCTTAAAAGTATGTAGTTCAAACAGAGAGAGTGTCATACTACACCAGATAATTTATTTAACAGAGATGGTAGTTAAAATGTGTTGTTATTATTACATTAAGGAAATGTAGTATGTCCTCAATTAGAACTATAAAGATTGTAATAGTTACTATTATTATTTCAGTAATGGAATGGTTGAATGATGCATTCTTTTTCAAATTGGGCTAAAAATGTAATCAGACGCATTAGAATGAATAATTAGAGGTCAACTGTTAATTTAAATAAAATTAGTCAAATATGAATCATACTATCCTGATCAAATGTACATAGTTCTATCGATATAAACTAGAAATCTGCATCAGTCTACCATATAAATCTATGAGCTGGTTTTGACGTAAATAATGATGTTTGTAGAGATTAGGGCAAAGAGAACAAAACACGTGGCAGAGCAGAGATCGATCATCAGCATTCTCCATACAACTCTGTCTTACGCGATCCTTTCCAATTGTTTCCTGTTGTTTTCACTGGCTTGCATGAAAAAGTAGGGTTCTCTACGATAAAAATACCACTTCATCATGCTACGGACGTGCTAGGTGTAGTGCAGTTAATTATGATGAGAGAAAAAGTTATAGTATAGCAAAAGTCATACCTCCAGTTAAATCTGCTGCAGAGATTACTACAAAATATCTATAATTGACTGACTAAACAAACGAAGACATAACCGCAATTCTTACATACAATACATTTGGATGACTTGAAAACGTGTAGTTTATCACCAGCCATTTTCCACTCGTTATTTCATAATTAGATACAAATTGTTTTAATTGGTAGAAACATCAGATAAATAATGTGAAATTAATTAGTTAGAGATAATTCCTGATCTTAAACTGGTATATGTAGTGGAATTTTCTAAACAGTGGAGGGCGCTAGATAAATCCTTCATCTAATCTAAAACTATCCAATATTCAGAAATGCCTTCCAACCCAAACGATTTTTATGTCATACAGTATACAGAATACCATTAAAACATTGAGTCGATCATTATTTCTGAGTCTAGTTAATATATCGTATGTGATGTAAACTACTATCTCATCTTCAATGTGACTGAAATTATAAACTACAATTTTTCACATAATAGGCACATTGAACAAAATAATGATCTTAGATAAATAACTTTTGAAAACTAGAAGGCACTAGATATGGTTACAAATACACATACTGGAAATATCTGAATCTTTGCTCCTCTGTAGTATTTGACTATAATCTCCAGTTGACTTCATTTCTTGTTGAAGGTTAATTTCAAATTTCCTAAGATTATTATTATTATTATTATTAGATGAGTGATCAATGTAAATGAATGTGTATAAATGATTTGTGTTATCAGATCATCCAATCAACTGATATCTTTATAATACTTTCCCCATTTAACTTTTAATTGATAAAATTGTACAACATTGTTGTTGACATGGAATATCAAAACAAAACAAAAATGAAAAAAGAATTTGAAAAAAAGAGAAAAATATTTAAGAAACGTTCGATAATTTTTTTCTCCTCAGTTTTTGTTCAATATACAAATTTGTTTATTATAAACAATTAGACATAGTGTATTGATATTGTAAGAATAAAATGAGAAAACTTTACTTTTCTCTTTTCTAATCCACTAAGATTCTCATAAATTTTCAATATAAATTGTAGTTAATTAAAATTAGAACAAAATTCTCTGTCTCCAGTTTCTTTTTATTTTCTATTTACCTTATTATATTCGAAAATAAGAAAATTAAAAAAAATAGATATGTATATATGTATATACAAATCTGTGTATATATTTACATGTACACAAATATAATACACTGGTATACACATGTGTACAACATGCTATTCGTATGACAACATGAACTCTGGCAGAAAAAATATATATAGGTAGGCATTAGTCAGTTGAACAGCTGACGTGTTCATAATATACAAATGCCTATGTAATATATATATCATGTATATCATACTAATATAAATATATATTTATACATACAAATATAGTCATAAAATCTTGGTGGTCTAAATGCTGAAAACTTGTATGGTATGATCACAGTTGCCAACTTGTTACCAACTAACATCTTATGTGTGTGGTCGTCATTTGGCAGGTATGTGGATGAAGACTCGTAGAAAAAGAGAAAAAAAAGAATTATTTCTGTCTGTATTATGGCATTATTTGTTTGAATTCGACGGGCGTTTGTTTCTCTCTTCCTCTCTCTTAATCTTTCTATATGTATGTATGCGTATATGAATGCATGTTCTTGTTTCTGCGTGGTCGGCATTGTTGATTATGAATTTTAGGATAAAACAAAACGACTTGACAATTTAAGCGGTAGCCACGAATACATAACGAGTTTATGTAAGTTATCCGTAGTTAGTCAAGAGGAATTTCCATTGTCAAATATGATATGATAACATAGAATTACACCTTGAAATAATATGATAGAATTACAATGAATTCTTATGGTAAACACTGGGAAAATTTTACTGTTATCCGTGGGACTGAAATATATAACTCAATAATTAAAATATATTTGGAAACTGAATATATTATACTATTCACATACAAATAAAATGATATGCAATAGTAGTTACAGTAGTAGCAACGTCAATGATTTGGTAGAAATAAATCATTTCATTTTTCGGAAACAAAACTCAATATTTCAAACAGTATAAGTTAAATTTTATGTCATATTACCTTACTATTACTATTATTATTATTACTGTAACGAAAAAAGACTCAAGTGGTGAGGACCAATTTATTGTATAATACAAAATAACAGGATATCTTCGCAAAATATAAGAATCATACAATTGTCCTTTACATACTGTATAATTTTTCCATGTAACAATTTCTTTTTATTTCCTTTTCTGTTTTCATCAACTCGATATTTTTAGTCTTCTGCTGCCATACATTCCACTTGTGATTGATGTTACATACTGCTTATGTCAACAGACATAAGTAGTATACACTACACTATACTACTACTACTACTACTACCAATAATGATAATACTGGCGATAACAACAATTATAGCGATTATGACAATATCCAAAGTATTTTAAAACATTTTAAAAAGAAGACATCAATTAATGAAGAGTAAGAAGGTCAATATTCCCATAAATAATTCTATATTCTAATCAGTCTACAGTAAATACTAATTTTAAAATATCTTTATGTGGTTGTGTATACATATATGCAAGTACTTGTAAGAAGGAACAAGTTTGGGAGATTTGTTCCTCTTTATATGACTTTATAGTATACATTATTTTATTAAAAAAAAATAGAACATAGTAGAATTTACTAATTTTTTTTATTAAATCATTGATTTATTACTAATAGAATGTCACAAAATTAGTTTTAATATTGGTAGAATTTAGCATTTCAACCATTATTTACACATTAATGATAGATTGAATAAGCCAATTATATAAAGAATTCTCCATATTAAAAATTAGGATACAATTTTCTATGAAA